CAAGCAATCTTCCTGTCTTGGCCTCCCAAAGTGCTGGGATTATAGGCGTGAGCCACCACCACACCTGGCCCAGAATTCTTGATGCCCAGAAAATCAGCAGATGATAGCAATGAGGAGGAGAGTAGTTGGTATGAGCCCCAGCAAAGGAAGAATTTTTTTGCAAGATTGTAGGAATAATGGCTTTGAAGTAGTATTGACAAAGAATGTCTATTTCTCTTTCTAGTACTGCTAGTACTGGAGAAAGATTTTATGACAGGACTTTCATTGCCCAGAAAGCAAGTTCCTGAAGTAGTATCAAGTTTCAGCTTAGAGGGAAGGTGGCCAGGCTTGCTTTCTGCACTGTCTGCGTAGATGGTGTGGAGTCTTCGTCAGGACAGGGGCTGTGGGGGCATGGGCGTTCTGGCCAAGTAAGCTGATCTCCTTGAAACCCTGGGCCTTCTTTGCAAGGACAGAGGCCAAACACTCTTGGGGGGAAAAACTCACAGCCCTCTTGCAGGCAAAGTCCCATTTGGCCAGTAGGATTTTTTTTTTTTTAACTCTTGTGGGATTAGGTCAGCGCTAATCATCTGTGAGAGGCTGAATGAAAACTTCTTAAAAGGTTTCTTGATTAAAACTCTAGGAGTCAATGGACTCGAGTCATTTTATTCCTGTGGGACCTGAAATTTATTTTTCCTGGGGTGTGTTCAATTGTTCTTTCACGGTGACAGCATATAATGCCCTAAAGCCCACATAGTTTGAAAGTGTCTGGAAATACTCAGATCATTGTTCATAAAGATGTTTTTGGATTTTCATTGGTTCAGGATTCCTTCAGCGTTGCTAGTCTGTGATCCCAGACATTTGAAAAGAAACCTCCAAGTAGCTCAAACAAACAATTAAAATATTCACAATTCTCTTTGTGCCTTCTTAACTTGATCTGTTTTCAACACCATCCTGGCTATAAAACCAGATGTGAACAGTTCAGAAAATTATTGCCTTAACCAGCCATTTCACCACAGGAAACTAAGCAGAAGAGGCTGTGCGACTCAGAGCTTGTGGAGTACTGCTCCCATCTCAGTATTTTTCTAAATAGTTTGTAATGAGTTTGGTAACATAAAAATGAGAAACTTCTATTTGGCAAAAACCAATATAAAAAAAGTTAGAAGACAACCAATAGGCTTACAGAAAATTTTTGCAATATATGGAATAGACAATGGATTAATAGCTATTATCTATAGATTGTTTCTACAAATCGATAAGAAAAAGACAACAAATCTAATAGAAAATGGGCAAATAATACACATAGGCAAGTCACAGCAAAGCAAACTAGAATTTCATCTGAAGAAATGCTTACCCTTTAGCACTGAAATCTCTAAACAAGGATGTCCATTGCAGTGGTAAATATCTGAGTTAGGAATGCTGTGAAATACTGTGTGGCTGATAAAACATTGAAGTGCTGAATTAGGTCACTGTATCAATTTAAAAAGTGAGTGCAGAACAATATGAATATAACATTCCCATTTTGAAAAAAATATTTCTTTTTATTTTCTTTCTTTTTTTTTTTTTTGGAGTCTCACTCTGTTGCCCAGGCTGGAGTGCAGTGGCATGCTCATGGCCACTGCAGCTTCGACATGCTGGACTCAGGTGATCCTTCCGTCTCTGCCTTCCAAGTAGCTGGAGCTATAGGCACCTGCCACTGTGCCTGGCTAAGTTTTTGATTTGTTGTAGAGAAGAGGTCTCGCCAAGTTGCCCAGGCTGATATTGAACCTGTGCACTCAGGCAATCCTCTCACCTCGGTCTCCCAAAGTGTTGGGATTATAGGCATGAGCCATCGAGCCCAGCCTAAAATGTTTCTAATTATTTGATCTAGAATGCATATATCCTGTTCTGAATTTTATTTGTGGGTGCCTTTAGTTAAAATATTTAAAGCTGGGTTTTTTGCTTGATTGTTTTGAGTTAGATTCTCACTCTGTCACCTGGCTGAAGCACAGTAGCACAGATCATGGCGCACTGCAGCCTTGACTTCCTGAGTTCAGGCAATCCTCCCACCTCAGTCTCCCTAGTAGCTGTGACTATGCGCCACCATTTCTGGCTAATTTTTTAATTTCTTTTTTTATAGGTAATTAAAAAAAAATTTTTTTTATAGAGACAAGGTCTTACTCTGTTGCCCAAGCTGGTCTAGAATTCCTGGGCTCAAGCAATCCTCTTTCATACCTTGGCTTCCTAAAGTGCTGGAATTATAGGTGTGAGCTACCACACGCAGCCAAGGCTGTGTTTTTCTAAGTATGACATTAATGAATATTAATTTTTGCCTTTCTATCATGTAAGGTAAAATATTTATTTCCCTTCTTACTCGTTATTTTCCTCCTCTCTGTGTTAGTTTTATCTGGTGTTATCCGTTTTAGCCCCTGGGAAGAGTTTAGGGATCCCTTACTAACCTTCTCTTTCCAAGAACTAAAAGGTTTCCTAAGGAAGGCTTCCAGGCCATGGTGCCTGCAGTTGCACTTTTTGGTGTGATGAACAAAGGAATTCAAAGCTCAGGATTCTTCTTTCCCAAGATTTGTCTATTTTTTTTTTTTTTTATATTGACAGCCTTGTGGAGCCTCTCTGCCCCTGCCTTTGATGCCGTTGGAGGGCCTGGGGCCTCTGCATGGGAAGCCTTGCTTGCTCCATCCCCTTCAAAAGGGAAGCGGAACCTGAGTGGTCCAGGAAATTAATTAAGGCTTAGGGTTGGCCTATGTCTAGGAAGGAAACCCACTGCTTGCATTACCCTTGCCTCTTTTTTGAAGAGGCCTCCCAGCTGGCTTTAATCTTGGTCTCAGGCCCCAACCAGTGTAAGTGAAAGGAGTACTTGAAGCTCACTCTAGTTTGCTTGTTTCCTGGCACTTGAGGCTCCGAAGTTCCAGTCTGGAGAAGCAGGAATGCCATCCTAAGGTGGCACAGGGACATCGGCCCCCTTGTCTTTACAGGCAGGTGAGGCCTTACGGACAGAAGCATTGTTTTCCTTAATCACATTCTCAGTGTTAGTAGACTCCCAATGGGGGTATGGGATTTGTTTCAGACTTGTTAACTAGGCTTTTCTCTGATCTAGAGAATTTATATTATGGTTTATTTAAAGCTAAAACTTAGCCGGGCATGGCAGTGCACGCCTGTAGTTCCAGCTACTTGGAAGGCTGAGGTGGAAGGATCGCCGGAGCCCAGCAGGTCGAGGCTGCGGTGGCCGGGAGTGGCCACTGCACTCCAGTCTGGGCGATGGAGTGAGACTCCAACTCAAAAATAAAATAAAATAAAATAAAGCTAAAACTGACTGTGTCTGGTTCTTCTAAAGAGAAGTGGCATACTTCACATTCATAGGGGAAAAAATCATTCTATTCCTTTTACCACTGTAGGATGGTAGTGGTGAGAGAGTGCGAGTTCAAAACTTCTTTTTGTGCCTGGTGTGGTGGCTCATGCCTGTAATCCCAGAACTTTGGGAGACCAAGACAGCAGGATCACTTGAGGCCAGGAGTTCAAGACCTGCCTGGGTGACACAGTGAGAATTCCATCTCTACAAAAAACTTGTAAAAATTAGCCAGCTGTGGTAGTATACGCCGGTAGTCCCAGCTACTCAGGAGGCTGAAGTAGGAGGATCGCTTGATCCCAGGAGTTTGAAGCTGCAGTGAGCTATGATTGTGTCACTGCATTCCAACCTGGGCAACGGAGTGAAAACCTGTTTTCAAAAGAATATAAACAGAAACTTCTTTTTGTTCCTCAGTGCTGATCAAGGATGGAGCCTAGAGTGATGGTTCATAGTGGGGCTGACTCCAGCTGTGGGCCATCAGAGGTCAGAGGAAGGGCGATGGAGATAAGTTTTTCTGAAGGGGGATTTAGTTTCCTGAGAGAGGTGAGATTGCCCCCCCACACACACACACACTGTGAGAAGCAGTATGGTAATAAAACTTCTGTCTCTTCATACCTTCAGGAAAGTCTGATGGACACAGTGTTTTGAGTGAGTTTGTGTCTGTGTATCTTTTCTTTTTGGTAAAGCATGGAAATAGGGAACTAAGTCCTACCTCTGGGACAGCTTAAAGCAGAAGGAAGAGATCAGACCAGCCTCAAGAGGTGAGATGTGAGTGAGCTCAAAAGTACGGCAAGAATTGAGTCAGAGCCAAAGGAACTATTAAGAGCATTAGCTGCTGGGATTTGCAGAACTGGAGATATGGGGATCCAAGCACTTTTTATTTTATTTTTTTAAATTTTTTTGAGTCGGAGTCTCACTCTGTCGCCCAGACTGGAGTGCAGCGGCCACTCCCGGCCACCGCAGCCTCGACCTGCTGGGCTCCGGCGATCCTTCCGCCTCAGCCTTCCAAGTAGCTGGAATTACAAGCATGCGCTACCACGCCCGGCTGATTTTTTTGATTTATTGTAGAGATGAGGTCTCGCTGCCCAGGCGGGTCTCGAACCTGCGGGCTCAGGCAATCCACTCACCTCAACCTCCCGAAGGCACGGGATTACAGGCTGAGCCACCGAGCCCGGCTCCAAGCACTTTTTAAAACATGCCCCCGACAGGATGGCTATAGGTAACATCTGATTGCTTTTGTGCTGTATAACTCCTATAGGGTTTAACAGGTCCCCAAGATCTTGCTCTGTGGATGCTTCAGGAACTATCATGTCACTCTTCTTTCTGCTCATTTCAGTTCAGACTCCAAAAGGGAGGCAAAACTTTCCGACAAGGGACTTTGTCATATTCTTCCCCCGCTCCCCATGAGTTACACAGACCCTGAGGATGCTTAAGAGTCAGACAGCTGCAGCCTCCCTCGCCACACCATCGCTACATAGGATACATCATTTAGGGGCCAAAGGGGTGGGCAAAGTCTTGCACAAAGTCTTGGGACTTAAGGACTGCTCTGAGCAAGGACCTGAGCGGATATTAAGACTCCGTTGAGTGTCCTAGAGCAACAGGCGAAGGTCTCTGAACAGCTGGGTAGGACAAGGGCAAATCCAGCCAGTGCCACACTGAATAAGCTCTCTTTCTCATTCCTTAGGGAGGAGGACCTGCTTGATGAAGAACTTGTTTTTATAATCTTAACATCCACTGTCTTTCCAGACTTTGAGGACAGTAGAAACCAGTGGGCCCTGCATGTGGTCTCCCTTTTTAGGTAAGAGCACTTTGATTTTCCTTTTGGGGATCAGCGTCTTCCTTGTTCTCTTAACCTGGTTCCAGCGGGTAAGTCCATCCCTTAGTGGACACATGATTATGCCATTTAGAGAACAGCAATTGGCATGGGCAGGGTTCCAAATCTAGGCCAATCAGGGCTCTCTGGAATTTTTTTTTTTTTTTTGAGTTGGAGTCTCACTCTGTCGCCCAGACTGGAGTGTAGTGGCCGCTCCCGGCCACCGCAGCCTCGAACCTGCTGGGCTCCGGCGATCCTTCCACCTCAGCCTTCCAAGTAGCTGGAACTACAGGCGTGCGCTACCATGCCTGGCTCATTTTTGATTTATTGTAGAGATGAGGTCTCGCCAAGTTGCCCAGGCGGGTCTCGAATCCACGGGCTCAGGCAATCCACTCACCTCGGCCTCCCAAAGGCGCGGAATTACAGGCTGCGCCACCGAGCCCAGCTAGGGCTCTCTGCATTTTTGCTGGAACCATTAAGAAAATAAACTGTTATTTCTTTTCCAGCTGGGTTGCCAAGCCTGTAAAATGTAAGCCTCATGCTGCCGGGGGCCATCTTGCCACCCCAATGGGAATGCTACCTGACAATGAAACCAACACAGATGAAAACAGATGGAGACCAAATGGCATCTTTTTAGCACCTGGATTTAACCATACCTTAAGCTAGTCTAACCCTGGACATGTCATTTTTTATTTCCTTTTTTATTTTGTCTTGAAAGTTCAGTTTGGAATTTTTTCACCTGCAGACAGAAGAGTCTTAACTAATCAGGGCTATACATTGTATATAGTTCTCAATACAATGTGAGGCTCAGCCTTTCTCAACAGATTTTTCTGTCTTTAAATGCTAGCTGTGAGTTTGTTATAAGAATCATGAGACCCCACTGTATTGTATCCTTTACATGGTGAATTTTATGGCAGGTGAATTATATGTAAGATGTTTAGAAGTCAACCAATTTCGTGATTTATTACTGTGATAATAAAAAGGAAAATTGTGAAAAAGAAAAGAACCATGAGACGATATATTTAAAGAGCCTAACATTATCATCCACGTAGAAAAACCCAAGTAAATATTAATTACAGGAAGCCAGGAAGGAGGGGAGGAAAAAGGGGTACTGAAGTAAAAGAACCCCCAGGTTCTTAGGGTCATAGTCTAGGTCCCTTCAAGCCCAGGGAGTCCCCCGTTCTAAATGTCCCTAGTGCCCTATACTTTCCCCTTATAACCCTTCATTGTGTTTGTAATGATATGTGTATGTGATAATTTTGATTAATGTCCTGGCAGTTTTATGAAGGCAGTGATTCTTCCCCACCTTTACATCCCCAAGTCCAGTGTGTGGCCTTCAGCTTACATTGTTACTGAATGAATCGTCACATCGTTATTCGGACTGGACCCACTCTTTGCCTGGTGTTGAGATTAGGGCTGTGGGCCAAGTCAGGAAAAGCAGTCCCTGTCCCCAGTTACACCTTCTGCACGGCCCACCCTCCCACACACAGAATCTTGCTCAGTGAGAGAGTTAATTTGTATTTGATTGTGAACCAAACCACTATATTTTTAATGTAGTTCTCATATTTTTATTGGATCGTTTTATTGAAGAATTAAATGCTAGGGTTCTTGCCTAATGTCTGGAAAGCTGTGCAGTGGAGTGGGTCAGGTCTTGGTGATTAACAAGCAGCCTTCCCTGCTCCTGTGTCTTCTAAAATTGCTTCTTTAACTGGGGTAGTCCACCCTCCCTCAGGTTCTTGCAGGAATGTGTTGGAAGCAGTAGGGAGGCCTGGAAATGGAGGAGAGAAAGGCCTGGGCTGCTGGAGACTTCACTCATTTCCTGGCAAGAAATAAAAACAGTGAGAGTGTCCCCGGGTAAATTGAAGCTCACTCCTTCAGCACTTTTGACTGGAACAGCTTCATGCCGGAGCCCTACTCCCAAGCTCCCAGCAAACCACCCCGCCCCCTGCCTCCTCTTCCCAGCTGAGGCTGCATTTCGTCCCTTCCCCCAGCCTGCTTTCCCCGAGGTAGAGGGAGTGTTTCCCAGGGCCCATGTGACTTCCACTGGCAAGTGACGATCACCAACGGTTTACCAGTCAGTAAAACTGCCAGAGGCTTTTGTGCTGTAATAATCCTTTTCCTGTTTAAAACTCTGGGGATTTTCTACTGTTGCCAATGGTTTTCCAAGTCAGCAATTGCGATGTGGATTATGTAATGGCTGGGTATTAAAAATAGAAAAGACCAGAGTTTGCATCTATTTTAACCAAATCAAAACAGAGCAAAGGGAGGGGAAGGGAAGAGAACGACCAGAGGAGGAGGGGAGAAAAAGAGATCATGTGACAAGAAGCAGTGAGAATGCTTCATATGACTGGATAATACAGCCCACAATTTACTGTGCCCTTCTCCAGCCATTCATGGCCCAAGGGTCTGCACACCTTCCTCAGGCTCCCCCCGGAAGGGGATCCTGCTGAGAATTCCAGGGACACCCAAGACCCCTTGTGGATATTCCTTATTTCAGCCTTGGTTTGTTTACCTGCTTCTGACAAAGTGGCTAAAGAGGGAGGGAGCTGAATTTGATGTACTCTTCTAAGTCCAGGATTTGTGTGTCTGATTCCAGGTTATCTTTGCACTCAGCTTGTTTCTCTTGTTGCAGTGGTGGGGTCAGACTTACGGCTTATGGGTGGAGTCTTAAGCATCCCAAATCTCTATCAGTCGCTTGGCCAAAGCTTCCCCAAATGTATAAAATTACAAACCATATATTCACTAACTCTCTCTACTTCCTCACCTCCAATCCTCTTCTTAGGGATTAGTATCCCTAAACTCTTGGTATAGAAATTCCAGGGCTACCACTGGCTTGTTCTTGTGTAATACCACTCAAATCCCCTACATCCTACCCTGAGTTGGGAGAGATTTGTATTTTTCTAGAGGCCTATTGAATAATTTTAAGGACTCTCTAATGGTGAAATTTTAAGTGCCAGGTAGAGGTATTTTGGAAGGAGAATTTCTAAGGACCTAACAGATCACATCAAAACACACCAGGTGTCTTAGTCTACTGCTATAATGAAATACTTGAGGCCGGGTAGTTTATAAGGAACAGATTTATTTGGCTTATGGTTCTGGAGGCTGGGAAGTCCAAGGTCAAGGGGCTGGCGTCTGGCGAAGACCTTCTTAGTCATCATTTCATGGCAGAATATGGAACGGTAAGAGAGCGCGCATGTGCCAGAGAGGAAGGGGGCTGGAGTCGCCGTTTTACTAGGAACGGACTCCCGCAATAATCTGTTTATGAGAGCAGAGCCCTCATGACCTAATCACCTTCTAAAGGGTCCTCCTTCTTAGCACTGTTGCACTGGGGAGTACGTTTCCAGCACATGAGCTTTGGTGGACACTCAGATCTAGCACCAGGTTTCCTACTGTGTCACCTTCAGAGAGAGGATTTGAGTTAATCATTTGATAGCTTACAGCCCTTGTTTCTACATAGGATCCATGCAGAAAACACCCCGCTTCCTAGGTCTTAGGTGACAGGGAGGGGTGAGTACCTTAAAGAAGCCACTCGCTAATTTCCAAAGACGGAACCCAAATAGGTTTGATGGGATCACAGAGCAAGAGCTCTGAAAGTCTAGATCATCAATAGAATCAATTGTGTGTCATATTAGAAAGTTGTCTGCTCATCATTACTTCCGTCATTTCCACACCAAACCCATCACAGTTGATTCTGAGAGCCTTCATCTGTACTGGGGTGGAAAAGAGTGCCAACAACTCAGAATAATATTGGCTCCAGCCCCACCTGGCCTCAGCCAGGCTCATCCAGCCTTACCCAGGACTGACCAGCCTCATGGAATTGGCAGTGAAAGGAGAGAGCTCTAATTATGGGTTTTAGGCATAATTTTACTAGATAGGTTGGAGGATCTCAGAGTCTGTGTTAGGGACCTTTAATCACAGTACCCTGGACTGGGAAGTGCCCATGAGGTGGCACCTCTTTTTTTATTTTTAAAAATTAATTACTTTTTTGAGCTGGAGTCTCACTCCATCGCCCAGACTAGAGTGCAGTGGCACACGCTCACGGCTACCACAGCGTCGACCTGCTGGGCTCCAGTGATCCTTTGGCCTCAACCTTCCGAGTAGTTGGAACTACAGGCACGTGCTACCTTGCCCAGCTAATTTTTTATTTATTGTAGAGATGAGGTCTCACCAAGTTGTCCCAGCTGGTCTCAAACCTGTGGGCTCAGGCAATCCATTTGCCTCGGCCTCCCAAAGTGCTGGGATGACAGACTGAGCCACCAAGCCCAGCCTGCACCTCTTTCTTATATACTTTTTGTTTTAAATATATAGTAGTTGTAAATATTTGTGGGGGTACATGTGATATTTCGATGTATACATACAATGTGTAATGATCAAATCAGGGTAGTTAGAATATTCATCACTTCAAGCACTTACTATTTCTTTGTATTGGTAACATTCTAAATCTTACAGCTATTTTGAAACATACAATAAATTATTATTAACTCTAGTCACCCTAGTGTGCTGTTGAACACTAGAACTTACTCCTTCCATCTGTGTTTTTGTACCCACGTACAAACTTCTTCATTCCCCTCTCCCCACTACCCTTCCCCACCTCTGGGAACCACCATTCTACTCTCCACCTCCGTGAGACCAACTTTCTTAGCTCCCACATGTGAGTGAGAACATGTGACGTTTGTCTTTCTATTCCTGGCGGCTTTCTTTTCTTTTACTTTTTTCTTTTTCAGCCAAGAGTTTCACCCTGTTCGGCCCAGGCTGGAGTACAGTGGCACAGTCACAGCCTTAACTTCCTGGGCTCAGGTGAGCCTTCCGCCACAGCCTCCTGAGTACCTGGGACTTCAGGCACACACCACTATATCTGACTAGTTCTTTTGGGGGGTAGAGATGAGGTCTTGCCCTATTGCCTAGACTGGTCTTGAACTCCTGGGCTCAAGCAGTCCTCCTGCCTTGGTCTTCCAAAGCGCTGGGATTAGAGGCATGAGCCTCCATGCTCAGCCCCTGGCTCATTTCAGTTAGCATAATATCCTCCAGTTCCGCCCACGTTAACTGCAAAGGAGGGATCTTCATTCCTTTTGGTGGCTGAGTAATATTCTCTTGTGTACACGTGCCACCGTTTCTTTCTCCATTCATCTGTTGCTGAACACTTAGGTTGGTTGTGTATCTTGGCTATTGTGACTAGTGCTGCAGTAAATGTGGGACTGCAGGTATCTCTTCAATACCCTGATTTCCTTTCTTTCGTATGTATATGCAGCAGTGGGATCACGGGATCATATGGTAGATCTATCTGTAGGTTTTTGAGGAATCTCTATACTGTTGTCTGTGGTGGCTATACTAAGGTACACTCCCATTAACAGTATACTAGTGTTCCCTTTCCTCTTCATCCTTACCAGCATTTGTTATTTTTTGTGTTTTTGATAATAGCTATTTTAACTGGCATGAGATGACCTCTCATTTTGGTTTTGTTTTCATACCCTGATGACTAGTGACGTAGGCCATTTTTTTCGTATACCTGTTGGATTTGTATGTCTTCTTTTGTGAAATGTCTATTCAGATCATTTGCTCATTTTTCTTTTTTTTGAGCTGGAGCCTCACTCTGTCGCCCAGACTGGAGTGCAGTGGCACACTCATGGCCACCGCAGCCTCAGCCTGCTGGGTTTAGGCGATCCTTCCACTTCAGCCTTCCAAGTAGCCGGAACTACGGGCACGCGCCACCATGCTCAGCTGATTTTTTGATTTATTGTAGAGATGGTGTCTCATCAAGTTGCCTGTACTGGTCTTGAACCCGTGGGCTCAGGCAATCCTCTCACCTCAGCCTCCCAAAGTGCTGGGATTATAGGTGTGAGCCACCGCGCCCGGCCCATTTGTGCATTTTAAAATCAGGTTGTTTTATTTTCTCTGAGTTGTTTGAGTTCCTTTTATATTCTGGTTATTAATCCCTCGTCAAATGAATAGTTTGCAGATATATTCTCCCATTCTGTAGATTGTCTCTTCGCTCTGTTGATTGTC